TGGGCCGCGTGCTGCCGTGACGTCAGCATGGTGTTGGAGTGCTGCCGTGACGTCAGCATGGTGTTGGAGAGCACGCAGAGGCCCTGGGCCGCGTGCTGCCGTGACATCAGCGTGATGTTGCGGAGCTGAAGAAACTCACCTTGTTGGCAATGCCAAGTGTGCATGAGTCAGTGCATGCAGGGTCAGATAGGTGTGCAAAATTGTAGGCGACTGTCAAATTTATTACGAATAGGTAAGCTAGAAATTTTGCATATTTAACTAAAATTGACTAGTGAAATCCAACCCTCTCACTTTACAGAAAGGGAATCTGCAGTTTAGGCTTCCAGGGCCAGCAGGGTCATTGACAGTTGACTTGGTGGATGTTGGTGATTTACACCAAAGGTTTGGTTTCAGGCTAAACTTTGCATCTGCCATAGTGCTGGAGGAGATGAAGTGAGTGAAGGCAAGCATGGGGAGAGGTGCAAGGGTCTTACGCCTAAGAGGTGTGAGGGTTTATGCTCTACTTTGATCCTCCTTGTTGACCAGACCAGCTAAGCAAAAGGCTAAGAGGGAAGGACTCCCAATACAGTGCCAAGCTTCAGAGCTCCAAGATTTGATGTGGATTTATCAACAGTATTTTTATTCAGATACAGAATTGATATAGTATTCTATACTAAAAGATGTTTTGCATTGGATTAGAAACTAAAATCCTAGTTTTACAGTCAGGGTGGCCTAAGCTCCGAAGTACGTGTTTGACATTGAGCAGCCAGGATGGTAATAGTGGGACTGCTGGCGTGGTACGCAGTGTCTCTTTCTGCCTTCCGTGGCCCTTCTGGTTAGTTGAAGATTCAGCGCTCCGAGAGTGAGTTCTTCATCTAAGGGAGAAGAGCGAGGAGCTATGCACAGAGCTTGTGTTGCTAGGTCTTGTTTGTAAATACTGTATTGGAGGCCTGGGAGGCTTTCTTAGGCCACAGCCGCTTTAGTGTCTCACACTGCTTGCATGCCGCAAGTGCACGCAGAGTGACAAGACAGGTAAGCCGTACGCCTGTAGGTGTGTACCTGTGCTCTTCTAGCGAAGCTTCTTTGATTTCATCCAAGGGTATCGTTCATTTGTGTCGGTGTTAGGTGTAGAGGGTCTGTGTAGGGAAACTCAGTGGTAACTTCATCCCTGTTGGATTTGGAGTTGGAAGCTTGCTTGGCACTGTCTTATTTATGCCACTGGACTTGTATAAAGAGTGACGCTAACTTTTATGCTTTCAGTGCCTTCCGTTTTGGCCTGAAAATCTGTCTGGCAAACTTTGTGTGAGAGTGGTGGGCTGTGAAGGAACGTCTAAACCATTCTTTTATAACCGACAAGATAATGGCACTTTATTGAGCTTAGAAGAACTGGTAAGGTGTTATATTTTAAAATAAATGTCTTTGCTTTTTAAAATTTACTTTAAAATTGTTATTTAAATCATAATATAAAATCTTGTAATTTGCTTGAAGCACTGCTGTGTCTCTGTTTAAGGCTATGAGTATACTTGCACTAACAGCTTAGAAAACAAAGCTTTTGTGCTCACGTAATTGATTGCAGCACCACGTGTACATGATGTAAACCAGGGTCTCAACCGGATCTTCTTTCCCTGCAACAGAATGGTGCTCTCTTGGTGGACGTAAACACTGCGGAGCACTCCACTGTGATAACCTTTTCCGATTACCACGAGGGCTCTGCACCTGCCCTCCTGATGAACCACACGCCGTGGGACGTCCTCACTTACAAACAGAGGTAGGAAGAGGGGGCTGATGGGAGTCCTGTTCGTGCGTGCTGGTCATGGTCTCTGCTGAGAAGCCCCGAGGGCAGCATCCCGAGGTTTCAGACGGTAGAAAACAGTACATGCAGCGCGTGCTTCGCCTACCTGACACCCTTGGCACAGAGCCCATGTTACTGTTTCTGTAGCCTCACATGAATGTTCACGCACGGGAGATAGACAGAAACCATTACCAGCCCCGACAGCTCAGATCAGGTTTTGCCGCTAAATGACTCTCGACAAACTTCCAGAAAGCTTTCAGTCTTTGGGAACTTTTTAAAATTTGAGCATTGCACATAAGGGACTATGAACTGTTTAAGCATTGTCTTTCAGTTGTAGCTTGGTAATGTTCAGTGAACTTCTCGCTATAAATGTATTTCAATTTTGGGTTAGGGATTATAAAGGTCAAATGAGAGGAGTGTGGGCAGATGATAATACTGAATCTGTAATCCAGGTGGTTGAAATTTGTTCTTCTTACATATATGTCGTGGGATGATACTGCTTAATGAAATGTCAAATAGTTTTAATCCCTTAAATGTATAACAATAAATAATTTTATTAAAAATACACATTTCAGGCCTAGGAGATAACTCAGCAGCATAAGTGCCTACCTAATAAGCGCAGGGCCCTGAGTTCGAGCCCCAGTATGGCGCAACCCCCCCATTTCCTTGAAGATTTCCCTATTCTTAACTCCCACAGTGTTAATCCAGTAGGAGATTTAGTTATTTATTTTTAAATTTTATTTATTTGTGTGTGTGTGTGTGTGTGTGTGTGTGTGGCCAGCTCAGCCCACCAGGGGGCGGCCCTGGCTGGCATGTGGTGCTGGGGGATTGAACCGCGGTCCCTGTGCTTTGCTAAGCTTGTTCCAAGTAGGTGCTTTAGACCACTGAGCCATCTCACCAGCCCCCAGTAGGAGATTTAAAAGGACACATTAAAATTAAAAACCTACATGGCCTACTTTTTACCTCCATTTCTCTGGAGTCTGATGTGTTAATGTAGACCAGGACTTCTCGAAACTTCAGTGATCAACTTTTAGATCTTCTTGCAATCTTAGGAATCAGTTCTGATTTAGTGGGTTTTGGGTGAGCTGTCAGGCTGCGTTTGCAGCAAGCCAGGTGCTGCTGGCCCGCAGGCCGCACTTTCCTTTGGAATGATACGAACTTCATTTTTTTTTTCCTTTAGGTGTTTGTTGTATTTCATTACAATAGTAAAACTCCAGCACCGAGTGAACTTCTGCTAGTAAACACATTTACTCTTCCCAGCTGCTTTTGCAGGTGTGGACACCAAAGGGCCGCTTATTTACCTCAGTTGGATCCCTCGGTGTATTTCTCCCTGAATAATCCAGAGTGTGCCGCAGCTTTTGAAACAAGCTTGTATGCAGCATTGTTTCTCTAAGCTTGGAAACCTTGACTTATTGGATGCTGCAGGGTTCTTCGTCATGGGCAGCACTTTTATTACCTAACAGTGTTCTCAGTGATTTACAGGTCTGGGGTTTTCAGGGCTAAGACTGTCTAATCTTTACCATTGCTCGTGTTTTAGTGGGTCACGGGAGGAATTAGTCCTGTTGCCAAGACAAGCCCGACTTTTTGCCTGGGCCGACCCAACGGGCACCAGAAAACTGACCTGGACGTACGCAGCAAATCATGGGGAGCACGCTCTGTTGAAGGTACTTTTCATGCGGCGTTGGTGGTGTGTCACCTTGCAGCGAGGGGCGTGGGCAAGACAGCTTGGCCATGCCGTCTCGGTCCTTACTGACCTGAAGGTGAAGGGGAGGTGTTTTTGGAATAGGATATTCAAACTTTAGACTGCAAGTGGTTCATATTGATATAGTAATCAAAATTTATTTATAATTTTTAAAATATACCTACTCCATCTTCTCCAAGACAAGACTAATAAAATGCCTTTTTATTTGCCTTTTTAATTTAATTTATATATTTTTTTCTTGGTCCTGGGGATTGAACTTAGGACCTTGTGCTTGCCAGGCAGGTACTTATGCTGCTGAACGGTGTCCCCAGCTATTCACCTTTTTTAAATGGAAATGACTTTAAGGTTAAGTGGAATTGAGTTTTATTTTGAATATATCCATACCTCCATTGGCATTGAGGTTTTCAGGAATGTTTTTCTAAGCGAGGCCATATATTTTATTAATCAGAGAAGTCCTTACTATGCAGAGGAGTTTGATAGTATGCAGATTTTCCCATACACAAGATTTGATGAAATAACTATTATAGACTGCTAAGCTAGCCAAATACATTATTTCTTGGAGTTAGGACTCTAGGAGGGGCCTGCAGCTTCACCTGCCAGCCTCCGTATTGATAGAGAAATTGCTCACGCACTAGTGACCCGTTGTCCAGTTTCTCCATAGGTGTTTCTCCTATAATGCTTCAGGCTGCTGTCCAGGGTGCTAGTGATTACAAAGGCTTTCTCGGCTATTTCTTTAAAGTGGTAATTGGCCAACAGTGACAGAAGTATCTGCTCCTGTTTTTATTCTGAGATAATTATAAAAGAGAAAGACTTACTTGACCTTTAGAAAGCGAGATTGATTGTTTTGTTGTAAGGTTCTTGGAGTGACTTTCTTGCAGCCATTTGGCAGAACTTTCTTTTTTCTCCTTTTATTTTTTAAGAAAAGGAAAAAAAAAAGAACAATAGTATGAAACTTTGAAACAAGGTTATAGGATAGTAACAATGGTTGGTGCTTTGCATATCGTTATCTTCAAAATAGTTGCTCGTATTTATAAGATACAGACATGAAAGCTTAAGCAAATAGTACCGGCATAAACCTTGCTTTTCAGTGAACTCATAGCAATGAGTAGTCTTAACTGTCTCATGTGTTGCCCTTCCTTCTTTTCTCCTTTCCCGTCCCAGTTCCTCTTTCCTTTTGAGTGGGCTCTTCCCATTTCACCATGTGGATCGTACATTTTGGGTCTTACTCTTTCAGCTTCTTACACTAGGGAGATAATAGGATGTTTACATGTGTGGGATGGATTTATTTCACTTAGGTGTATGGTCTCTGTTTGCATTTATTTCCCTATAAATGTCTCAAATTTATCCTTTGTTATAAGCCCAGTACTATTTCATTGTATAAGATACATCGTTTTTATTTTAAAGACAATAAAGAATAATGAAAAAATAGAGACAGTTCCGAAATGCAAAAAGCAGGGTGACAGGAATTCAGCAGTGGTTGTTGTGGTGCATATGGTCTTCAGAGTAGCTTTTTAGATTATCAGGCGTAAGCATGCACCATTGGTCACAGTACAGCGAGCGTTGTTCCTTCCAATAAGTCAAAAGAAGTTAGTCGTACAGTTATCTTAGCTAACCCGTGTGTATGCCTGCCACCCCCCCCCCCTTACTCCTTTCCCTCATCCCAGTTACTTTTTCTTACGGAGCAGTTTCTTTCCATTTCGTAGTATCTAGTGTACCTTTTGGGTTTTATTCATCCTTTCAGGTTCTTACACTAGGGAGACACTACGGTGTTTACACATTTGGGCCTGATTCATTTCACTTAACGGTATGGTCTCGTTGCATCCATTTACCTATAAAAGCTGTGAGTTTATCTTTCTATATAGCTGATCAATACTCTATTGTATAAAAATGAGTCCTTGAAGCATTTCTGTGCAGTTTGGATTTTCCTCATGAAGTCTGTGCCTACCTCTACGTCCTCAAGATTTCTACCCACTGTCTCCTCCTCCAGTCGATTTAGTGTTTCTATTTTGATGTTTAGATCTTTGATCCATTTTGAGTTTACTTTAGTGAATGGTGGTAGATATCAGTCTAGTTTTAGCCTTTGGCAGGTGGAAGGCCAGTTCTCCAGCACCGTTTGTTAAAGAGGCTTTCTGGCAGTGAACATGTTTGGCCCCTTCGTCAAAGGTCAGGCGCAGAGTGTGCTGGGTGTCTGCCCCTTCTGATCGTCCCACTGGCCCTCAGCCTGTTCTTTTGCCAGTTCCGTGCTGACAGTGTCACAGTGGCCCTGTAGTATCCGGTGGAGCTTTGTTGTTCTTCGTGTGCTTTGCTTTCACAATGGAGAAGCCTTCCAGTTTGTAAGGGAAGCAGTAGGCTTTTGTTGCCAGCCTTGGCATCCTGGCTTGGGCCCCCGAGCTCTCCCCGAGGCCCTGCTCCCCCTGCGCCTGGCGTCTCTTCCTCACCTTATATCCTCTCAGCCACAGCTTCCAGACAGTAGCTTACACACCTCGGAGAGGGTGCAACGGCGGTGTTGTGAAGCAATTTCAAAATAATTCAGAGAAATATGCTCTTAAATGAGAGTATAAAAAAGAAAATGTAAGGAAGTATATAAGGGATAGAGACTTACTGCGCATCAGGTATTGATGCTTTCCACATAGCGTCACTAATCGTTGTGATTGGAACCTGGACTGATGGTCGCGAGTCAAAGCCAGCTGTCTGGTCTTGCAGTTTGTAGACTTCTTCTCCCATCAGGCCACGTTTAGTGTCAGTAAGTAGACGTGCGTTAAATTCTCGTGCTGCTGGGCAACAGCAAGCAGATGGAGTTGAAGGGTGGTATCTGACACCAGAGCTGGCCGTGTCAGCGCAAGCTTTTGGTCTGGCTTTGCCTCGGGAGGGAAGGCAGGAGACTGCGGAGCCCACGAGTGCAGGGCCAGCCTGGGCCACGTAGCAATACCTTTGTTGAAAAGAAGGAAAAATGTACACGACACAGCAGATCTGTCTTAACTTAAAATTTTAAGCATGAAGATACAAAGGAGCATGAAAGCAAAACTCGGTTGTAGTTGTGATGAGCTACAAGTTAAGGGTCCGTCATAGTCATATGACAGGCGGGGAGGGCAGCCATGCACATAGAGACGGAGCTTCACGCGCTGCGTGCCGCACACAGTTGTGGGCACATACTGACATGGCTCGTTTAGTTTTTCATAGGTCAAATAGATGAGCAAATACAGTTGAATATAAAACAATTGAAATGAAAGATACCTATAATATTTTGTAGTTCACAGATAATCTGTCTTCTCAATATTCTGAAAATTTAACTACTTGGTAGAGTAAAAAACTATTGGAAGGCTACTTTCATCATGTAGTGTACTCCCAAACTTATATTTCAAGCCACCACCACGACAGAACTTATTCTGGGCTTTTCGTGAAATCCTTTGTTTTGTCTTTTTGCACAAGAAAGCAGGAGATGAGAAGCCCCGTGCAGGAACGTATACGTAATACTGAGGGAAGCGTGACTGTGCGTGAAGTCCAGGTCCGTGTCTGAAGGACTGACCAAGGACACGAGGCTCGTAGTTTCAAGTGTCGTAGGAAACCTTCACTGACCATCATAGTTTGACTGTTTGGCAGTGAGTGAGATTTACATAAATATTTGCTGTGTTATAAGTATTAAAACAAAAATAGACTAGTAGGCCTATTTTGCTTGAGGTTACTTGGCTATAGGTTTTTTTATTTGTTGTTGTTTTTTAATTCATTGAGGCTACTTTTTAAAAAAGTTTCTGAAACATTCTGTTCTCCAACATGGAGACAAACGCCTTTGACATTGTTACCACCAAGCTACTCCTTTCCTGCTAGGAAAAGCACTCCTTGCCACTGAAAAAAATATGAGTATGTTGTGTCAACATAGGGGATAACTTTCAGCAATCTGATGCCGAGAGTTTCCCGCCGTGCAGTCACGGCTTTAAGCGTCCTGTTCTTTCTCAGTTGCTGTGTGAGCCTAATGGAGACTTCCTCCCCCAGGATGAGTGTGGCCAGTTTCCGTACGACGCGAACATCCAGATCCACTGGGTGTCGTTCCTGGACGGTCGCCAGAGAGTCCTGCTCTTCACAGATGACGTGGCCCTGGTGTCCAGAGCGCTGCAGGCAGAGGAGATGGAGCAGGCTGACCACGAGCTAACCCTGTCCCTGCACAGCCTCGGGCTCTCGCTGGTCAATAATGAAGAAAAGCAGGAAGTGTCATATATTGGAATAACCAGGTATACAAGACAGAAGATATGGCCTGAGGGACCCAGAAGGGTCTGCTTTTGCCGTATTAGACTCGATGAGGGCAGACAGGTCTTGGGTGAACTGATAGACCGTCATGAACAGTGGTAGCGAACCTGTGGTACGCATGCCGTGGCTCGCACGCGGAGCCCTCCGCGATGGAGCCAGGAGTGATGCAAGTGGTGCTTCTCACTGAAGCGTCTGTGTTCAGGGTTAGTCACACTGCCGGCACGTGGGATGGGGTAAGCGCATTCGGCACAGGGTTGGTCCCACTGCCGGCACGTGGGATGGGGTAA